AGTTACATAACCTACATTTTTGGCTAAAGTGAATTCACCCCACGTGAGAGAGCCAGAAAAGAGGGTGACAGTGCAGCAGTGGACGGCAGATCTCCCTCCCACTTCACCTGATGGACACACGGATGGTGAGCTCCTGCCTTGCACAGTTGAGCATCTTGCTGGACCTGTGGACATTTGTGGGGATTTTCCAAGAGCTCACCATAGCAGATTTTCGCCTTTGTGAGAATTGGGACTCTGACTCCCTCCATAAGAGGAGATATCCGTACAGGAAGCCCCATATTTCACATTTTTATTGAAGCATGTTCCGAGGGCTTGAGGGGTGAGTCTGTGTATGTGCGTGTTTCTCAAAATATATCTGCTGATTATTTGAGGCTCAGTATTAATAAGCCATATAATTACTGGATTCGGTAGCATTTGAAATTGGAATCATTTTTGGATTCCGCTCCTCCTGCGGGCCCTTGTAATGATAACCACATCAGAATGCTTTGTGATGGGCTATGTGGGAAAAAAAATCCTCTCCGTGCAAATTACCAGGCCACTTTTATCCTGTTGAATAAACTCTAGGCAGTGACTCTGCCGTCAACAACACATACGAAAGGCTGAACTCTGTGGTTGATCTGTTTTGTGCGAGGTGGACACTTGCTGTTCTATTTGCCCAGTGGCGCTTTTTAATTGGAGTGATTTTTATTTGGTCTGATTTCCTGAAATAGAATCCATCGCCTGCTAACCCCAGAAGCCTATCAGCAGAAGCGCCAACTGTCCCGGGCTCTTGGCTTAGCTCTTCCGGGAGGAGACATGGCCTTGGGGGTGGGGGACTTGCAGTGTATTCAGATCTGATATTGAAACAGCTTGTGTGTGTGTGTGTGTGTGTGTGTGTGTGTGTGTGTGTGTTTAGGGAGGAACCACAGAATTTGACCCGCCATCCCCACCCAAACCCCAAACCGATTCCATTCCAATAGCCAAGCCTGCTTCAGGCGGCAGTCTCAAAGCCTCTTTTGAGTAGTTTATTTCTTCCTATTTACAACTCCCAAAGTGAGCTGTTTTTTAAGGGAAAATCAGTTTCTATTAATGTCTAAGACCCCTGAGCGGGCCTTTGCCTCTAATCTGTCCTGCTTTGTTTAGGCCAGAGAACACGTTGAACTGGTACCCAGGCGAGCAGGGGCATTTGCCTGGCACAATCACCTGAAGTTGATTTATGCACAGGGACTCAAGGAGCGATCATATTTTAAATCAGGCTAATCAAGCTGTCTTTTTGTGAAAGCCCCCCAAACCACACACAAACCTCACCCTCCATGTGTTCCCCTTTCGACTGAGTAAAAGCGAAGGGGAGACGCTTATTAGGAGCCTGACGCTGGCACGTAGAATCCAGCAAATGCCGCCCGGTGTGTGTGCACAGTGGACTTCTTGTTGTGGGGAGGATGACGAGGAAGCAGCATTGTTTCTGCAAATTAAGGGGCTCGATGCACCGCTTCATGTGTGAGTTTCCTGTTTCATTTGAGCCCACTTTGGGTTTCCTTTCTTTTCTTTGGTTGACTGTTTCCCTTCATTCTGTTTTTGCTGCTTAATTGCCCTGGCTCCGGGCTTCCGAGGCAGCCTACCAGGAAGATCAAGTTTACTTTGCAAGTTCTGTCCTCTCCCATTCATTCATTCCTCACCTTGTCTCACTTCCCACAACCACTTCTGAAACACCAGCTGCCTCTGTGTGGCACCGGTTTTTGTAACCCATCCAAGCCTGTCTTTGTTCTTTTCTTTCTTTTTTTTTTAAAGCTACTACTTATTGAGTTTCTACTCTGTCCCAAGGATCAGCACACTTTTTCTGTGAAGGGCCACAGTAAACAGCTTCAGCTTTGTGACTCATATTGTCTCTGTTGCAACTTCTCCACTCTGTTACTGTATAATGAAAGTAGCGTGGCCATTACCCATCCATAAACAAACAGGGTGTCTCAATAAAACTTTATTTACACATAGAAGCAGTAGGTCAAATTTGGCCCGAGGGTCAAATGGAGTGAATCCCTGTGACATACATAGGAGACATACCAGACTTTTGAGAGTATTCTATCAGCAGAAATACCATCAGACTGAAAGGGACAGCAAGAACAAAGTGTGAAAGAAGACTGTCAAACCCTCCGAATTCTACAAGCAAGAAATAGGCTGATAAAACTAGTTAGCTATAAGCAGGTGCTACCCATCACAAAAAAGGAAGGAGACAGCAAAGCCATGGGCTCAGGGCAGAGCTGGGAGCTGAGCCTTGAGACCTAATGGAGTTTGCCCAGTTGGAGTTAGGAATTACTTAGGACCACTGACCCCTTCTTTCTCCCTTTTTGATCAGGAATGTCTGTAACTGTTATCCTGGTGGGATTTGCTCCACCAGGGACCCTTAACTTGTTCACTAGTTTCACAGGTCTCTCGATGGAGAGGAATTGTGCCCCTAGATGGATCATACCAAGAGTTGTACCCAAATCTCCTTTGGATGATTTAGGGGATGAGATCTGAGACTTTTGAGCTAATTGAGACTTAGGTGAGATTCTGAACTTGAGTTATGCTGTTATGGGTTGAGCGTCTGGGGGACTTGGGATGGGGTAAATGCATATGAGGCAGACCTGAAACTTTGGGGGTTGATAGTGGATTGCTATAGGTTGAATAATGACCCCCCCCAAAGATGTCCACATCCTAATCCTCAGAACCTCTGAATATCTCATCTTACATGGTGAGAGGGACTTTGTAGATGTGATTAAGTCAAGGATCTTAGGATGAGGAGATTTTCCTGGTGGCCCCAGTATACTCACATGGGTCCTTGTGTGGGGGTGGGGGGTGGCACAGGAGTATCAGAATTACTGCAGTGATTCTCAACAGTGGGTGATTTTTGTCCCCCAGGGGATATTTGGAGGTGTTGTGGGTTGTCACAACTGGTGGAGAGGCTACTGGCCCTTTCTGCCAGGTAGAGGCCAGAGATGCTGCAAAACACAGGACATCCCCAATGAGAAAGAATTTTATCAGACAAAAAAGCCAATAGTGCAAAGGTTGAGAAATCATGTCTTATCAATCCTGTACAACTGGTTAAGGCTGTAAGGGTGGGTGTGGTTATCATGCCTGGTTCCTAAATGAGCAAACAAGGTGAGAAAGGCTGGATTACAGAGACGCAGGAGATCCACCAGGTGGGATGTAGCAAAGCTGGAGCAGAAGTCCTTGTCCCCAGGCCTCCAATGCACTGCTGTTTCTTCATCCCTCCTTCACCTACCAAGCCTGGCTGGAGGTAGGTTGGTTTCAACCTAGAGTCAATAGGTAAGATGATTCATGATTCAGCCCATAGGTGGGACCATAATGGTGGAGACTTCCGGTACTGGAGCAGGTAGGACAGAACTGTTTCAGGAAAAGGTATTTTCAGTGTCTGTTGGTAGGTGGGTAGGAATACGGTTGATGGGCATCTTCTGCCAGGATCCAAGCCTTTCAGCTTCAAGTGCAGATTGGTTTCCACCATGGAACAGAGCCCCCTGTGCATAGGCTGTGTGTGTGTGTGTGTGTGAGTGAGTGTGTGTGTGTGTGTGTGTGTGTGTGTGTGTATGTGGTGGGGGTTGTAAAATATTCCCTCCTTCTAAGGAATTTGCTACCTAGAAGAGGAGGTGGAGTCCTAAGCAGGTAACTAAAATGAAAGTAAGAGTGAGAACACATGTTTCAAATGGTTTTGCGCTCCACACTTCCCCAGGGAAGAGAGAGAGAGAGAGGTTCTTGGGGGTGGGTTGATGAACATCTGGAAAGTCTACAGGGAACAGGTGCAGCTTAAACCGAGGCTTAAGTTGCAAGCAAACCAGAAGACCACTGTCCCAAATCAAACAATAGATTCACTTCTTGAAAGCGGTTTCTGCCTCCAGATGCTGAAAGAAAAACTTCCTCGTTTGACTTTCAGCCAGTCCTCAGTGACGAGCTTTGGGACTCCATGCACGTTCTGATTATTGCTCTTTTTTTCTCCATTCATAAGTGAACAATCCAAGCAGTCTAAGTTCTGTAAGCTTCTGATCGGGGCTGCAGATTTGCCGTATTTGGCAGCCTTGCGATTTCCATCGTCATCACGATCATACTAAGTTTATGAGACAAGCTTCTTATCACTGCTATCAGCACTTTTGTTTTCCCATTTTCTGCTCATTTTTCCAAAATTATAAGAGCCAAGTGCTCTTAAAAGAGCCAGATAATCACACTAACGAACACTCTCCTGGGCAATGATAGCAGCAAGGTGGAAATGAAGACCACACGCTCTCTGCTCCGGTACCGTCCATTCAACTGCTCAAGAACAGAATCCTGATTGCTGCCAGTGAGGGATGATTTGGGGCTCTCAGAGCAGCAAGCATGAATGTGCAGATAATATACATTGATTTATTCATTCCTCTATGCATATTTATTAGATAACCTCTCTGTGCCAGGCACTATTTCAGGAACTAGGGATACAGCCACAGGAGTCTACATCCAGGGCTCTGGCAGGAGCTTCCAGACTAGACTGGGGAGACCGACGCTAAGCAAGCAGGCAAATCCATATACAAGGGAGGCTCAAATTGTCACACGTAGGGTTGTCAGATCACAGAATCGCCCTCTTGGCTTATCCAGGCTGAGTCAGCTGCCTTCTAAAGCTCGGGGCTCCAACCCCCACTGGTTATATATACAAAGTCAGGGAATTCAGCCCCTCTGGTTTGCAAAGCCAGGGTCCTGGGGATTTGTCTTCCCTGTGCAGGCTCCCTGGTGCTGTTCACTCTCCGTGCGTGCAGCTCCCTCCCTTTGGCCCATCCGGAGCCGCTCAGACGCTGCTGCTTCTCTCCATTTTAGTTGTGGCCTTGGCTCTGCCAGACTTCAGATTTCCCTCCAGGTTGTGTACATGAATGCGAGTGATAGCTACTCGTAAACGTGGGCCAGCGCGATCTCAGGGCCCTCCTCCCTGGCCATCCCCCGCTCTTCTCCAAGGTTGCCAGATCAAATACAGGACGTCCAATTCAATTTAAATATCAGATTTTTATGTGCTCACTTCGGCAGCACATGTACGAAAACCAGAACGCTACAAAGAAGGTTAGTGTGGCCCCTGTGCCAGGATAACACACAGATTCGTGAAGCATTCCATATAAAAAAAATGAAATAAATATCAGACTTTTATAAACCACTTTTAAAAGCTGTATTTACCAAAATTGCATCCTGCTTTTTTTTTTTTTTTTTTTTTTTTTTTTTAGCCGAGCAATGCTAGTACTGAGGAAATGAGTGGGGCATCTGGGATGGTGTATCGTCCAGGGTTCCCCCAGAGGAAGAGAGCCAGTAGGATATCTGTTCTGGGGTCTATTGCGGGGAATTGGCTTAAGCAATTTTGGGAGCTGGATGGGCAAGTCCAAAACCGGCAGGCAGTCTGTGGGGAACGGTAGGCTGGAACTGGGCATTTCCTGAAGCTGCTTTCTCCTGGCCAGATTTCAGGGAAACCTGAACTTCGCTCTTCACACCTTTGAACTAATTGGATCAGGTCCACCCAGATTATGGTAGATAAACTCATCGTAGACGGAATCATATTTGTAAAATACCTTCCCAGCAACAGCTAGACTAGTGTTTCTTTGACTCAGTGGGGACTTTAGCCAAGTTGACCATTACAGATAGAAAGGGGAGGGGTGTCCACAGTCATTAGGGAAGGCTTCGTTGAGGTGGGGCCATGTCAACTGAGTGAACATTGAGACACTGAATGTCAAACTGCATCTAAGAGCCAGGACATCCGAACATTCCAGATGACCAAAAATAGCAGGTGCAAAGGCCCTGAGGTAGGAAAGAGTCAGTTTTGTTTTAGAAACAACAAAAAAAGTCCATATGGTTGGGAAGGAATATCAAGGGGAGAGTGGTACCTGGTTGGGTGGGAGAGGAAGGCAGTGTCTGGGTCACAGAAAATTGTGTATGAAAGTCAGGTTTATAAAACTCCAGGACTATGACAATTTGCAAAAAGGTATTGCTGGGTAGGAAAAAGAGCATGCCTTTGAAAAATATCTTCTTTCGGAAGTATTTCCTGGTATCTGGATGGTATTTGCTTGCCTAAAAAAAGTTTCTGTGGGTGATTTAGGCATGAGACTCCCCCAAACTGATGTTATCTGGGACTCCACGAAGTAATACCAACCCTTATTATTGTGTCTGAAAAGGAATCTTTTCAAGAGGTGAGGAAGCAGCCCAGTAGGTAGGCAGCGACTATAGGGCATCTCCAATTTATAGGTTTTTTCCTCAACCCATCTTTGTATTCAAGAACGTTCCTTTTGAAGACTGGAATAGTCAGATGGTCAGTCACTTGTTTGCAAGAAGTCACTGGATAGAAGTCAACACTTTTCGTCTGTGTCTCAGGACTTAGGGTTTGTTTAAGGAAAGATTCTAACAATTTTCCTTAAATAGAAAAATCCGTTTTATGTATTGATCCTCTCTTGGAAATCAACCAGTAGTTTGATCTCTTGACAGTTGTACATATACCTGTGAACCTTCAGGGCTGATGCAGAAAAGTTACTCCCTGGACTTGCGGAGTTTCCTGGAATCCATAACTTTTGAATTTGCCTGTTGCCTCCAAGTCCGACCCAGATATCTCCAACATGGATATGATGTCTTTGGGAAAAATCACCTGTTTTCTCTTGAACTTAAATTTTTCTATCTATTATATATTTATTTTGCTATCAATTTCTAACAAAGAGTTTTCTACTCTGAAGTTTTGTTCAGCTCCAAAATTCTGGTTCCCTGAGAATTCTCTATATTGTAAATTAGCCTCAGTGTCGCACACTGGTTTGGTAGAGAGGAAGGCAAGAAATATTGGTCTCTGTTTTATGTCATGTGTGAAAGCAGTGTCAGTCTCTGAAATCTTGATGGTGAATTCTTCCTGTTTGTCTCTCCATCCCCACTAATAATCAAATAGAATGTAGCCATCTTGGCTATCTAATTGCTGGGTAACACATTACGCCTGAAATTCAGTGGCCTAACACAGCAGGCATTTACTATCTCCCAACTTACAGCGGGTCAGGAATTTGGGAGGGACTTAGTGGATTCTGGCTCAGGGTGTCTCGTAATTGCAGTCAACATGTCAGCTGAGGCTGTGGTCATCTGAAGGTTTTGCTGGGGCTGGAGGATCACATGGCCATTGGTAGCAGCCCTCAGTTCCTCACCATGTGGGGCTTTCCATAGGCTGTTTGATGGGGCCCCATGACATGGCAGCTGGCTTCCCCCTGAATGAGTGACGATCTAGTCTCGGAGGTTACGCATCATCAAATCCAACCCTATCTATTTGTTAGAAATGAATCGCTAATTCTATCCCCACACTCCACAGGGGGGAAACTTGGTTCTACCTTTCAAGGGAACAGGGTCAAAAACCTATGGACCTATGGACGTATTTTTAACTATCACAGTTGTGTCTTGTGTGTATGCTGCAGACGTTCCACTCCCTAAGATCTTGATGTTATTCTTCCAGCTCTACCTGTCTGCTCTTATCCCCACTAGCAATTAAATTGCATATAGTCTACAACTTAACCATCCTTCTTTCTTCTATAACTTATTCCAAGCACAGTGTGACCTGGCTCAAGAAAGTCTGAACGTCACAAACATTGCGGCTTTGCTCCTTTCAAGTATTACTAAACTGTCAGGGTAGTAATTGACATACCCTCCCTTCTCCCAATCCTTGGGTAGTCCGTTGCTTGGGGACAGATGGAAGGGAAAGTGGAGGTAAAATAAGATATTTTTTTCCTGTAACTCTCTTAGATAGATGGGCCATTTTATGCACCACTGCATCCCATGACAGATGGTGCAGAAATAGTCAAGAGCCTGGCTTGGTGGAAGATGGCCTTCTCAAGAAGCAGCAAGCCGTGTGCTTGGAACACTGGGAATTAGCCACCGGGTGACTCCCACCTCAGGCAGGGCTCCCCTAGACGTAGACATGAGACAAGGATTTGTGTGCAGGTTGTATATTTGGGAGATCTCAGAAACACTGGTAGGAAGTAGAGACATGAGGCAGGAAACCATTGGTCATGATGCTGTTTAACCGTGTGGGTGACTGGAGCCAAATCCCACTGAAAAAATCCTGGAAACAGGTTTCTACAAACCCACATCTCTAAGGGAAGCCGGAGAGCCAGGTTATTTATCTACCAGATCCCCTTAGACTTTGGTTGAGAGCTGCCCCCGATGAATTCCATAGCCTTCCTGTACAAGGTTACGAGGGCTGCATAGCAAAGACCCACAGACCGAGTGGCTTAACATAACAGAAATCTGTGGTCTCCCTGTAATGGAGGCCAGAAATCCGAAAGCAAAGTGTTGGCAGGGAGGGCCATGCTTTCACTCAAGGTGCTAGGGAAGGATCTGTTCCAAGCTCCTTTCTTAGCTTCTGGTGTCCTCTGTTGTTCTCTGACTTGAACACGCACCGTTTTATCCTCTGTCTTCCCGTGGCACTCTCCCTGTGTATCCTCAAATCGCCTCTGCCTCTGTGTCTTAGTTTCCCCTTTTTCTATAAGGACAGCAGACATATTTGATTAGGGCTCACCCTAATAATCTCATTTTGTTACCATTGTAAAGAACCTGTGTCTAAATAAGGTCACAGTCTAAGGTGCTGGGCCTTATGATGTTGCAGGGTAGCGGGGGGGAAGGGTGGGCAGTCACAACTAAACTCAGAACACTTTGTGTATTCAGAGCTGGTGTCAGTGGTTGAGAGCAAGAAGATGTGTCCTGGCTCCACGTCTTCAGGGTTGGCTTCTAGACCTGGAGCTCTCTGGTTCCTGTTGGAATAGCCAAGGGTTCAAGCGCAGCAAGACACAACATAGGAGGTGGGAAGTCCCAGCTGCATGAATCCTTAGGGTCTAGGTGCTCAAGGTACAAATCTCGGAGTCCTCTCCAATCCTCTTTGCATTTACTTAGTGCTTGCAGTCCACAGCAGATACACCAGCTCTACCCTAAACTCTGTGTCTGGAGTCCATCCCTGGCTGTCCATCAGCACTGACGCCATCTTGCTCCAGGACATCCTCATCGCACCTCAGGTACAGCTGCAGCGTCTGGCTGGGCTCCCAGCATCTGAATGGACGTGCCTGGGAAGCCAAGATTCTCTGACAAGTTGCCATGGGCTGCTTTGTGTCCCCCCAAAAGTTAAGTGCTGAAACCCTCCCTGCCTCATTCTGTTTTCCAAAAGGATGCACCACACTGGCTTTTCAATCTTATTTCAGTTTGCCTTCTTTTTTCTAATCTTTACCTCCTCCCCCTTTCCTCTCCTCTACTCCCCTGTCTCTCATTCCCCTTGAATGCATAGCAGCACTCTGAAAAGATGGAAACGTCAGAGGCATGGAATGTTTCCACAGAGTGATGTTAATATAAATATTCTAGAGAGAAAAGCGGCCCAAACACACAGACCCATCTACCGTTGATTTCGGCAAAATGAGGTCCCAACCTTCCAGACTATCATTCCCTCTCCTCCGGGGTTTTTCCGTCACTGCCAAGACACATTTTCTGCTGTCCTTGACCTTGCCCCACGATGTCCCTTCCAGAACTATAACTGTATGTATATAATTATATACTCCTTCTCCTAGGATAGATTATTTCCCCCTGAAGTTATATCTGCCCCCAGAACACAGGTAGCAAGGAAGTGATTGAAGCATTTGAATCAGGAGTTTTGAGCTGCAGTGTGTGTGTGTGTGTGTGTGTGTGTGTGTGTGTCTCCAGCCAGGCTTGGCCTGTCAAGCACAGGGTAGGAGATGGCGAGGATCCTACCATTCCCGCGGAGCTTGACTTTATAGCTGAGCCTTCCGGCCACCGTCAGACACCATCATGAAGAGAAGGATGTGGGGCCATGTCTCTCTGGGATCCATCTCTGGGTCGGGGTCTGGAACAAGTCACCATATGGGTCAACCGCCCATGACTTAGCTCATTCCAATATTTTTAATACGAGTGATACTCAGTTAAAAATGAGCAGCAGAGATGGCTTTAGAAGAATTCAAGAGCTAGGGATTCAAGGATAAGAGGTAGTTCATTCCCTCTTGACTTGGTAATGGTGAGGTGGTCTTGGATCTAGACTATGTCAGACACCGCCAGGCCTCGCCTTTACCCTCTCCCTGCCCAATTCTGTCTCCCTCTCTCTGCCCCTCCCCGACTTGC